ATCCAAGGATCAATCAGAAGTATCTGACAAAAAATATTTCGATGCTAAAAACAAAATTCAAATCAAGCATTAGCAAGGATATTGCACAATTCCAAGTGTGCTGCTATATTTATATTTCTAAGTGTGCAGCTGTATTTATCTTTCTAAGTGTACACATAAAGCTAGTTTCAATAAAACATTTTTTTCATACATGTCTCTATCTACTTACTTACGTATCCATACATAAGTACGAACAAATTGAAATAGGAATTTGCCTCCCCAAGCCGGCTCCGGTACAGGACATCTCCTTCGTGGGCTCGACAAGAGAGAACCGGCGTCCAGAGGGAAGGAAGAGAGGGCATGGATTGGAAGAAGAGGGAAGAAATTGAAATTGTGGTGTCATTTCCCGTGTTTTGCATTTTTTCCCTGTTTTTCGTTGAAAAATGCCAAAATGATGTTTTTATCGTTTTGTGTACAAATTTTTTATCGTTTTCAAAAATAAGAAAAAGAATGCGTTTTCATTATTTTGGAAAATCGAAAACAGGAAACAACCCAAACGGCCAAAGAGAACGGCTCCTTAATGTTTTATGGGAGAAATTCATATATAAGAGATTAAGTATGAAGCATTTAAAAACTAAGAAAAAAGTTTAAAATTTCAAAAATTAGATTTTTTTTTAATTTATTTATAAACTAGTTAATTAAACATATATTTTATTAAACAAATATATTAAGGACACAATTTTATACAATTTGGTCTCAAATTATAAATTAATTGCTCACAAATTATTTCTCGATTACAATAAAAAATTTTATAAGTCACAATTTATTTTATGATCACAAATCAAAAATTTTATAAGTTACAATTTATTCATCGGTCACAGATTTATCAAATTAATAGGTCACATATTATTCATTTGTCACAAATCACAAATTTTACAAGTCACAACTTATTTTTTGGTCACAAAATATCCAATTAATTTGTCACAATTTTTGGTCACAACTTATCAAATTATTGGTCACAATTTAACAATTTTTTAAGTCACGAATTATTTATTAGTCACAAAATTATCTATTTCATTGGTACATATTATTGATTAGTGACATATTAACCAATTTATTGGTTTCAATCAATCAAATAATTCGTGACCACTGTCACCGCCCACGTCACAATCGTCGTCGTTGCCACCAGCAGCAATCAATCAAATAATTTGTGACAATGACCACCATCACAACATCATCAGAACCGTCACTTAACCACCACAACCAGCACCACCTTACCACTAACAAATTAGATCCAAAACCCACCAACACCCCACAACCACCGTCACCTCACCACCGTCGTTGCCTCATCCACCATCGTCGTCACCACCACCACCACTACCATTTCCAACCAACACTCCTTCACTGACTTGTTAACCAAAAACCATCACTATACCAACACCTCACTGACATCGCCCGATCCACCACCACCTGTACCATTACCATCACTGCAACTAACCACCGCACACCGTTGTTGCTCGGTCCACTACCACATGCACCAACTACCTATAGCATCACCATCACCACCGAACTATAGCAGCGGTAAGGACAAAGCCGCTCTGCGACATTCACATCATCGGGCTGTGACGACGCATCTCAACAGTGATGATGTCGCTTCACATCGTTGCATTGCGACTCGTCATCGCGGCAGCGATGCTCACATCAAGCATGTTGCTGCTGCAGCATCCCAACGACGATGGTTGTCTGAGTGTAGAGAGACAGGTGGTGAATAGAGAATGGAAAGGAGATGAGAGAAAAAATGATTTTAGGGTTTGAATGGAGTAAATATGATAGGGTATGTGTATATAAATTAATTTATAATATTATTACTAATATTAAAATATTGATTTCTAATAATTAAATTAATATATGATTTTTGAATAAATAAATATTAGATCTCATTTTTGAAATTGAATCTTACAAATCTGATTGGATGTAATTCCACAATTTTTATTAGATCATTTTAATTTTGAACATTTATACACAATTAATTAAATATATCGACCCATATGGCAAATTAAATATTTTCCCAACATTAAAATTCTATTTTTTCATCTAGTACCTACTCAAGAACGACTTTTGAATTATTTATTTTCTTTTGTCACTTATGTTACTTGACAATTTTTTAGCGGTCCTTTTTGCCCTTTTCAAGAATTTTTTTGTTGTGAGACCTAGCAACGAAATCAAGTTTAAAGCCCTTTTTTCATGTTTTGATTGGAAACAGAACCTCTTTTATGTGAAACTTGAATGGAGTACATTGGAAGCAAATTGAATAAAAACTATTTAACTTTTTATTCGATAATTATCCCCTCAGAAAAGAAAGAACCATAAGCATTGACTTTTTGTCCAATGATCAAGGTTTTTTCTCCCCGTCCCCTCCATGGCAGGGGGACACCTGTCCCTTTGGTGCTTTACAGGACCAGTTGACAGCAAAACTCTATGTCCAATAACAATAATGTTTGGTGTACGATATTTTTTACAATATTATTGATAACATGTCATGTGATATATTTTCATTGGACAATTTAAAAAAATGATTTATCTTTTTAACAAATATTTTTTTGCCACTTACAACATTGTCGACAATGTTGTAAAAAACATTGTACAATTATATTTATCCATCCAATAATACAATGCACTAAATAATTAAACCATTTCCCCTGTCTAAACCAATCATTAGCATTGAAATTGAAANAATATTGATTTGTAATAATTAAATTAATATATGATTTTTGAATAAATAAATATTAGATCTCATTTTTGAAATTGAATCTTACAAATCTGATTGGATGTAATTCCACAATTTTTATTAGATCATTTTAATTTTGAGCATTTATACACAATTAATTAAATATATCGACCCATATGACAAATTAAATATTTTCCCAACATTAAAATTCTATTTTTCATCTAGTACCTACTCAAGAACGACTTTTGAATTATTTATTTTCTTTTGTCACTTATTTTACTTGACAATTTTTTAGCTGTCCTTTTTTCCCTTTTCAAGAATTTTTATGTTGTGAGACCTAGCAACGAAATCAAGTTTAAAGCCCTTTTTTTCATGTTTTGATTGGAAACAGAACCTCTTTTATCTGAAACTTGAATGGAGTAGATTGGAAGCAAATTGAATAAAAACTATTTTAACTTTTTATTCGATAATTATCCCCTCAGAAAAGAAAGAACCATAAGCATTGACTTTTTGTCCAATGATCAAGGTTTTTTCTCCCCGTCCCCTCCATGGCAGGGGGAAACCTGACCCTTTGGTGCTTTACAGGACCAGTTGACAGCAAAACTCTATATCCAATAACAATAATGTTTGGTGTACGAGATTTTTTACAATATTGTTGATAACATGTCATGTGATATATTTTCATTGGACAATTTAAAAAATGATTTATCTTTTTAAAAAATATTTTTTTGCCACTTACAACATTGTCGACAATGTTGTAAAAAACATTGTACAATTATATTTATCGATCCAATAATACAATGCACTAAATAATTAAACCATTTCCCCTGTCTAATCCAATCATTAGCATTGAAATTGAAA